GTAAAAATAAGAGAATAAGCATTAACTTGTAAAAATAAGAGAATAAGCATTAACTTGTAAAAATGATAGACTACGCATTAACCACATTAATTATATTTCATATGATCTTTTTGCACAAAATTAAATTTTATCTATATGTAATGCAATTACGAAATAAACAGTGAAATGTTTTTGTTTTGATTACGAGTGCACTTTTTGAAATACTGGGACTAAGAACGGGGATCAAAGATCTGATTTCTTGGAAAAGGATAAAAATTGTTTTCTATACAGGGTGTCCCAAAAAAATAGAGCCCGAACTCTGAACAGCAAGATTCCTCGTTGGGAGTACACAAAAAATTCCCAAGAAACTGTACCTGCACGATCTATACTTTACGAGAAAAATACATTACAGTGCAACGAAAAAACACTTTTTTGACACGTCAACAGCAGTATTGATAAAGGCAGATGTTCAAAGGGAACGCCGTGCATATTGAGGCAGGCTTGAGCGCTGTGGAATGGATGAATGCACACGTCGCAGAAGCGCTGTGTCCAACAAACAACAAAGTCCGTTTATGGCCCCATAGGAAAATCCAACGGTACAGATCTGGCGATCGGGGCGGCCATAGAATCGGACCCCCACGTCCGATACAGCGGCCGGGCTATGCCATATCCAACCAATCACGTACAGAAGCACGCAAATGCGCCGCAGCTCTATCATGCTGGAACAAAAGCCCATGTATTGCCGCTAAGGGTACGTCATTGAGGAATTCGGTTAAGACATCGTGTAAAAAGGCAAAGTAGGACTGTCTCGAAAGCCGTTCAGGCAACAAATATGGTCTAAGCAGACGATCCACGAGCATGTCGGCCCACACATACTTACAGACCAGCGATCTGCTGCCGATATGCGCAGCGAACGTTTTAAACGTTATCGTCTGGAAAGATATGCAAATACAGTAGATATGCAACTCCAGTTATCCGAATCAATTGGGACCGAACTCCATTCGAATAATAAAAATTCGGATAATTGGATTTTTTTCCCGAAGAAACACCACGTACACTTTAACTAATTACTGTATGTTGAAAATGGGAGAAAATATTTTTAAAGAAAAAGAGGTTTTAATTAATTAAAATGAAAAGACAACTCTTTTATGTACATGTTATATAACGTACTGTACAGTATGTGTAAGTGCTGAAAGTCATTGTTTGCTGAACATCTCGGTCAAAGTAAGCTGTCTGACGGTCTTCATCCGTTTACGGGCAGCCAAGTCGCGCGTCCAATTGACAATGAAAAGTTGCATGGGGTCACACTCGGGCTGACGCTCCATCCACTTCAAAGCGGGCAAACGTTTCACTAGCTGATGGTCCCGTTCGTCTGCTTCAATTTCGACATTAAGATCATCTTTTTCCTCGAAACATTTTTCTCTCACACAATAAGTTCACCCTCATTTAGAATCTGAAACCCAGGGTTTGCAAATCACACACCCATTCTGCTGTATCCTCAGCACCAACTTCTGAACATCCAGGAATTTTCAAAAGAATGTTTCTTAATTCCTTGAGTGACACTTATCCTCATCGTCATCCTCATTTTGGGAATCGCAGTACATTTCCGTCCTAATTTTTTTATTAAATTCTGAAAGCGGTTCGGATAATCAGAGATTCGGATAGTTCGGATAATTGGAGTTGTACTGTTGATGTTTTTTCTTTGCACTGGCTGTGACGCATTTTTCTCGTAAACTGGATCGTACAGATACAGTTCTTTGCGCATTTTTTATGTAATCCCAACGAGGAATCTGGCTGTGCAGGGTTTGGGCGCTATTTATGGGACACCCTGTATTTTATCACATCTATAAACTTTGCCGGTAATGTTGTCTCTGATTACTCTGGACAAGCTCTCTATATCGGATACGATTCCTTGTTTCAGAATTTAAAATTCAAATATGAGCTATAAACGTTGCATACAAACAACACTTACTAAATTATTTATTTGCTATTAAATAAATGTAACTGAAAGTTTCTGCTTCTTGCAGAACGGCAAAATCTATAACCTTATATCGTACCTCTGAAAATAGATCCTAACTTATTGAAGTGATTGTTAGCTTGGAAAGTTATTTTAAAAACACCTCACTGGACGATATGAAATTAAAAATTTAAACTAGAAAAATCCAACATTGAACACGATTTAGTTGAAAAACCATGCATTTAACAAAAAAATGTTGGCAGTTTCTTTCCTTCCAAAAACATACATATTTTTTTCTAAAATATTCGACTTTCTACATAAGTATAGTGTATATTTGTAGAGAAAGACGATTCTCGAAAAAGAATAATTCGTGCGAGCCTCCTTGGAATGCTCAAATTTCTTTTACGAAACTCATATCGGTCTTCTTCGAAATGTGAAAGGTTTTTTCCATGTTTGGTTTATGCGATTATGGCAAAGCCTCGAGGGTTATTTGCCTAAGGGGAGGGATGCCTCTGTGGAGGACTTTCTCAGGCAAACTGGCTCGTACACACGTTTCACATGGGGAAAAGCCCGAAAACGACCATGCAGCCAGCCCGTTCACGGAATTCGAAACTCGGACCGAACTACCAGTGTTCAGCGACTTTCACCGCCCAGCCGCTGGTGGGCCATTTTTTTGCAGGAATCTAGGGCTTGAATGCTTTCCAACTCACGTAGGTAAAGCTCATATATAGTCTTCTTTTATGCGTATATAATCCGCATACTTATAGAAGGTTTGATGTGATTTTAAAAAATGAAAACCTAAGAACCTTGAAGAACAATTTTAATTAAGCCCAAAACAAAACTTTACACGCAGGATGATAACCAAATTTAATTAGCTACACTTCTTTCAATTTGCAAATAACCAGGAAAATGAAACATAAATTCAAAAATAATATTGGACGGAACTTGAGCTTTTACGAACATTGGATTAGAAAGGCGAAAGTCATTCAAAACTGTGTGCCATTGTTGCTGATATAATGAGAGAGAATTAGTTTGTTTTTCCATCGACAATTTTACATAGGTTCCATACCGCATACGACCTAAAAATGCACGACTATGAATTATTTTTTGCATCGTTATTACAGAAGAATTACAAGAATTGTCACGAGGTAAAAATGTTTTTCTTCAAAAGATCGAGGCAAAGCCATTCGGGTCGGGTCTCTTAACTGTTATGAAATAAAGAAGATTTTACATCAAGTATTACAAAGATTAGACAAATTACAAAGATGCTCTAAGAATGTGAAAAGTTACATGTGTTCACCGACATGCATCCCATACCTGCCAGGATCTTAAATTTAAGAGAGAAAAATTCTTCAAAGTATTATTACACGACATAAGTTTTTTTGTACAAGAAAGCCTACCACGTTAAAAGGAATACGAGTTCTACTATGTTTTGGTAAAACAAATATTTGTCGGAACCATTTCGAAATATTACCATATTACCAACCAATAAAAAACTTATAACTTTTCCTTTATGAAGAGCGGGTGGGGGGAATAGATGAGCATTCTATTTGCATCAGGAAAAACAAAAGCAAACTTGAAAGAAATAGTGAGTTGTATTACTATTTCCAAAAAACGATAGCGACTTAAGAAAAAAATCTTATGTGTACACTGCATGACTTCCTTGTACGGAATATTAAATTATACGCATTTTTTCTTGAATTTCATTTAAACTTATTGGATTGAATTAAATCTACTTTGTCGCTAGCGCATAAACCGCAACAGAATAAATGCACTTTAAAATTCACTCTATTTGTTTACCATAGCCACACTCTGGCGCTAAGTTCACTTAACAGCGTTATATTTCGTTCATATTATAACTCATAATGCACAAAATTTATATCATTTGAAGAATTATCTAATCATTGCCACATATTCTATTCAAATACTCTAATATATCTAGAACGATGTATGAAAGAAATTAAGCAAACAAAACAAAAAAGAAACAGATTTTTCACACACTATTCAGTATTTCTCATTCAATTAATTCAGTTATCACTTCGCGATAAGGCAGAAATACATAAAATCTCAAAATATCTATATTAAAAATTACGAAGCAAATCTTAATAACACTTAATGCAAGTAACACTTATTTCCTCGAAAAAATTCCAGAAAGGATTAAACATGATTTAATTCGCAGTAATAAATGAAGGCGTTATATTTGTTGTTGCGAAGCTTAGTCTCTCTAGATTGACAACGAATCTACTATTCTGCTGTTTCAAATGTAAACAAATATGTCCGCCATGTTATTTAAAACTTAAGGCTTAACCTCACTTAAACGGCTTTTAAATTGCTGATAATTGTAAAACTATTGCTTGCAGATTTACTAAAGGCATTACCCGAAAGATAACAACAACATAATTCAATCATTTTTAAAGCAAAAAATGCACAATTTACAAACGTACAAGAGTAAAGAAACTGAGATGACTGAGCCGGGTAACAGAGTGGATATATATATAAATATATTTACATACGTTTAGTGCAGCCGATTGCAACCAAAATACGAGGTGCACATCTAAATATTATAGAAGTCGTATATACAAAATTTCAACGTTCTGAGGTTAGTCGTTTTTGAGTTATGCGACATACATTCGTACAGATGCCACGAAAAATTCTCTTCATTTTAAAGCAGTTTTATAACGTTTTTTGAAGGAAAAGAGTCTTTTATTCTGTCTTTACGTACAGATGTTACACAAAGACATCATTAAATTGCATTCGATAGCGGTCAAAATGGATATTTTCGTTGAAATATGCTGCCTGAAACTTTTCGCGATTACAATACTTCCTTTTTACTTCGTACAAGGAAGTAAAAAGTGGTCATTTCCGTATCTTTGTTGATAGATGTTTATGCGCAAGGAAACATTCTCACCCATGTACGCGTGTTGCGGTGTCGTTTGCACATTTTACATGTTGTTAATGCACGACCATTGATCGTGATAATCCCTTGCAAATTTATTTTAATGAAAACTATTTTTAATCAATCTTTAAATTACATATGAAATTACAGTGCAGGGTTTACTTTCAGATCATCTTACTTGCTTTGGCCTGCTGCGCTGCATGCGTGGCAGCTGTTCCAAGAAAGTCCGATGAGAAAGACAACTTCAAAGATTTGACACCAGAAGCGTCTCGACAGAAGATCTACGAAATTATCCAGAGCCACGAGGGAAGAAAGTTCGGGGATCACGGTGGTCATGAATACAACGAAGACGAAGTTCCACGTAAACTCAGAGCTCACAAATCCCGTAGATATGGTTACTATCTTCTACCTCCGAGTGATGTGAAGACTTCAGGACATTACGACGAAGAACCCAAATATATTCCCCTTCCTGAACATAGTAAAGTGTACAGAGAAGACATAAATGCATACGCGAGAGACAAATATCCACCAGTTCAATTGAAAAACTCTCCCCATCAGGTCATAGCGAGCCCTTTGAGCAATGCCCATTACGCAGTGGTAGACCCTAAAACCCAACAGCAATACATTATCGTAGAAGAGCCAAAATCTCAGTACCCAAGTCCTCTCGTTTTAGATCCCAAGCAACAGCATTTGTATCAACAACCTATACCACATTACGCCATAGTCCCCGAAGAACACGAAGTTGTAATTAAGCAAGAAGTTCCCCTTCCACAGCAACATCATGTACCCGTGAAGAATTATGGACACTATGATGATAAGCATCACCTGGTAGACAAAGCCCATCATGCTTCAGGCCATGGGCACCACTCGGATAATTCAATACACAAGGAGAGTGGCCATAAATCCCATGGACATCATGATGTTTCAGGACATAAGGCTCATTCTTCAGCCGCTGGTCATCATGACGAACACGATCATTATCATAACAAGTGAGAATCTTTTTTTTTTTTTTTTTTTTTTTTTTTTTTTTTTTGTTTAATTCTTTATCGTAATCCATTGCTTATCATTCTATATGGATCTGCGTAAGCAGTTCTTGATTTGAGTTATTAGCCAGGTTAATTTTCCCAGTTGCATAACTATGAATTTTAACCACGAATAGCACTAGAATTTTCCATATTGACAACACTGTTCTATATTGAGGATGCATAATTTGTCTTTGTCTCAACTAATATTTAAGATTATCTGCGTACCGATTCTGTAAACCTCTTAGTTCTAAACAATCTCCTTTATATTTTGTATGTATATGCATATATAGGGTACAACTGACGGAGGACGTGGGCACCATAGCTTTACCATTGTGGTTAATCGGTGTAGCGCCACGCCCACACTTATTTAGGTGATGGGGCCACACGAATGTCTCGCACGGAACGCCCAGACCCAGCACACCGTTCATCCAGAGGGTAGTCCAACAGACCAACGCCGCTCCCCGGGAATACACCCCCATACAGCCTTCCGGGCCTCAAAATTTATTGTAATTTCAAAAGTGTTATATGGCCTTACAGGGCCATAATCGTTATACATGGAAAGATATGGCTGTAACATAGACTGACATGATTACATTGACGCGCATACGGCATACTTGGTGGATTACAATACATATTCTTAGAGATACACATCTGGACGTAAAAAATACATTCGTTACTAATAATAAAAAGTAAAAAATACAAATACGAAAAACATATACAGATATATAGAAATACAAAACAGGAACATAATACAAAAATACACATAATAATGCAATATAATAGTGCAAAGTACAATTAAACAGAATACCTGATGCGTTCCGTGGGCAATTAACATTTATGCATGGTTAAATCTGTCTTATTACGTGGCCTGCACCTTTACACACACCTTATATACCATATCATTTCTTTTAAATACAAATTTTCAGGAGAGATAGAGTACACCTAGACGATGGGAAACCACATAGCAATGCAAGGTCGGAAACGCTTTCCTGGCGCGGTAGTGACGACACAAAGTGCAAAAAAGTAATGGTAAAAAAACAAAAAAGTAAATTTCGTAAATGGGGGTCGCGAAAAGATATCAGTGATAAAAAAGGGTCGCAACTGAAAAATGTTTAAGAAACTCTGCTCTAAAAGAGCTTCTATCCCTTACTCATACATTTAAGGGCCCATTAAAAATATTGAAATGCAAGCATAGATTTTAAGAATGATTATTAATAAGACTTACTTCTGAGTGTTCTGTTGGCCAGACATTACAGCATCCTGCGATTTCACATAGAGCTCTTAATAGGTGTTTCGTGAAATGCGCTTTTATTTCATTACGTTACGCAATAACTTAAATTCCATATTAGAGTTTTATTAAAATATCGGAACCAATACATATATACTAACCAAAAAACCCTACATGCCTTATACTTATGAAAAAGGCAAAAACGAAGCAGGCTTTAAATGTAAATAACGTAAATTGAGTCATATTTAAATGTACGTACATGTATAATACGTATGTAAGATGTTGCGTCTATTAGCATTTATAATAGTAATTACTTCCTGATAATGTACATTCTGCTCATCTTCGCCGAAAACCAACCAGAAAATGTTACCTTTTTTACAGCATAATGATGTACACGGGGCTTAATTATTCAATTAGATGCATCAGAACTCTGTTGAAGGCCATCAGTAATGGTAAACAAAGATAAATAAAATATTAACTGTATAAAATATATAAAAAGATAAATAAAAGAAACTAAATTAATAAAAGACCTTAAACAATAAAAAATACTAGATTTTATCGCGCCAATACCAGTTTGATGAAAGTAAGATATTAAAAAAAATCATAACGAATTGTAAAAGTTATTAATTTCAAAACAGTATTTGGCGTCGATTCACTTTTCAAACTGTTGCCACCAAATAGTATCGCCCTGCGTTATATTTAAAGAAATTAAATAATGAAGAATCTGCATGAATGTACGAATGTTTCTCGCATTGTGAAAGAAACAACAGTACGTAGAGCCATCAAATGTTGAATAATGTAGTTTTTCAGCCGAACATGGGCACTTGGAAATCTGAATTTTGAATATGTTTTATTACAGATTTCAAATTTTGTAAAACTAACGAATGATTGATTAACAAACTCAAAAATTTCAAAGTGAGAAATGGCAACACTGTACGGTAAAAAAACATTTTTATCTCCAGGCTGTATTGGAAATTCTAAAGATATGCTGTTTTGAGGTTATTTTGTGATATTGCTGTTGAATTGAATTTTATGCGTTTTAATTGCGAAGAACATAATATTTAATAAACAAATTTAACACACAAAACGTTAAAAAAGACCTTTGGGCGTAGTATAAAACCTGAAACTTTCAGCTTTCTTTCTTCATTTTATAAATTCTATTTCTGGCTATCTGAATTTTAAATCTGAAGTAAATTAATTATCTTATAAATTAGTTTAGGTTAACTTGTTAAGGCAATGTAACTCAAAAAGGGAAGAAATGACTTCGTGGAGAAGTTTTTAAACAGAAACTGATTCAGTTCCATATTACATGCAAGGAAAACAACAAAACTCCCATACAGCCAGCTTGTTTGCCAGGATAAGAGCTTAAGTCGAACTACCAGAACTCTGTGACTTTATCGTTTAGCCGCTGGTATGCCCTAATCTATTTCACAAGCCGGTATTTTAGGTAACACAGCATCAGCCTAGTGGTAAAGTCGCTGAATACTGGTAGTTCGATATGGGTGCAGGTTTCAGATAACGAGTAGCAACATGGGAGTTTTTGCGGTTTTCCCCCATGCTTGATGTGGATGCGAGTCAGATTCCTTTCGAAAGTCTTCCACGAAGGCATCCCTCCCTTACGCAGATACCTCTTGAAAAGTCCAACCTATTTTTTCCCCGAGTGATGACCCTCGACTACAGGGCATTTGGAATCTCACACATTTTCAGTAATTTAACGTTATTCTTGGTTAATTTACTTTAATATTTTCACAAGAGTTACTTTATCAGGACTGCTATTTCTTCTAATCTGTTTAGCGAGCGTGTGGGTGTCCTGAGTAGAACAGTGAGTTTACTTTAAACTATGTCCTTTGGGATTGTAGAAGAGATGACAAAGAATGGAATACCCTTTATTCTTCACAGTTTATAGCTGCTCCCGCACTTCGGGATACGAAGACCAGTACTTGTGGTCTGAAACGTAAAAATAAGAACTACAAACTGACTAAATAAGAGCTAAACTCAAATGTTTTACGAAGACTAGTAACGCTAAGGTTGGCATTTTAGATCTTTACGTATGTAGTACGCAGGATGCGGGAAAACTACAATACGTCTTCAGTATCAAGAGGACTAAACCTCTGGCCTTAAAGGCGGACAGCAACTTGCGGAAAAGAGCGCGTGAAATAAGGTGGCGAGAAGTCTCGCTCTCTCTCTAACTCCTTCTTGGCTAAAGGCCACAACTACAATTTTCACGCTCAATTTACATACTAAAATTAACCGCGTTTATTCTGGCTGGAAGTGGAAAATAAGAGGGGGTAATTAAGTTTTAAAATAAATGTTAGTAAAACTTAAAATCCTTATAACTAACTTTGTAAGGATTATATTAATTTACCTAACAGTTAAATTTTGAGTTAAAGTTCCTTTCCTGTGTTCCTGAATTTCAACATACATCTTCCGGCCAGAAATGAGTTTTAGAAACGAGCTTGAATGCAAATGAGATGAAGTATTAAACCGTGAAGTTCTACTTACTTCGTTAGAGAGAACCAGTGATTCTGGCTAGCACGCGTCCGCCTTTTTTAGGCTACTCTCTCTTAAGCTATTATTACGCTCGGCCGTACTCAGGCCTTTGATAGCTTCGCAGTTATTTAGAGCTAAGGGACCAACTCTGTTAGAATTTTGATAGCTTTGGCTATATCTTGTTAGTTAATATTAGTTTAGTTCTTAATTTCCTAAGTTCAAGCTCGAGTGGCGGCTTTATTGTAAAACTCCAAGACGGAGTTCTGTTAAACTTTGAATAATAAAGGGTAATTTCACCCTTCTTAAGCGTTGTTCTCTATCCCATGAACTCAAGCGATTATTCGCTGATCAGCTCTTAAGACTCTTCAACTGTTACTTAAACATGCTCAGCACAGAATCTTACAACTTAACCTTCATTACAATGTCAAGTTATTTAAGCTCAATAACAGCTGTATGGCACTGTTATGCAAACATTTCCTTTATTTCGTTTCTGTTGTCCTCATTTCTGTTGTCGAACATTCAAACAACACATCTTATTATCCATCGTCCTTCCACTTTAAACTTGAACGAACAGCATTGAAGATTTTCGTGTATATTCCAATCACGTATTTCTTTTGTTATTTTCCAGAGGCCTTTACGAACGAGATCGTGGTTACCACTACGAGAAAGCTTATGCCTATGACAGAATCCGAGCCCACCATGACATCGGTTCCGATCGCGGACACCACTCCGCCTACAAGGCTCAGCACGGCCAAGAAAGCCACAAGGATGCCGGCCACCACGGTGCGGAGACCTACATGTATTTCAAGAAGAATGACCACCACGGCGATCACGGCTACCACGACAATAATTCTTTGTACAAAAGCGGTCATCACGGCGGTCAAGGATACCACGATTATGGGCCAAAGTATCTTCAATCTTATCCAGTCGGTTACGGGAAGTTGTGAAAGCATCCGAAGAACAATGGATCTTGCCAAATCGCTTAATGTAAGTAGCTGTATAGCATTTTTATAAATTAGAAAATTTCGCAGATGAGATTTCTCATTTGAGACAACTGCATATTATGAAAGAGAAGGTCATCCTAGGTCATCGGAGCTTAAATTGCGGCAGAGTTCGGCTCTTTAAGTCTTCTTAAGTTTGGGGATAAACCTAAATAATAATTCCTTAGATAAGAGGGATTCCCTAAATATGAAAGGATTATGGATTCCCTAAATAAGAAGGGATCAATATATTCCTTCTTATTAGGGACTAGCAGCTACGCGGCCAGCCTTCGTCTGGCTTTTAACATGCTAAGCGTGGCGCCGGTCCTTGGGGTGAACATTCCGTGTGACCCGGCGTCAGTCCCTGGGGACCGGCACTGGAATTTTCGTTTTGGCTGGCGTTGGTCCGCAGGACCGACAGTATTAAAGTTAAAAAATAAATATAGTATCAATGAAATGTGATCAAATTTAGTTTTAATGAAATATATAGAAACATTCTAAACAAAAATACGGCTTAGCTCGCTGCCGGCTGAACGGAAAGGACAGCAAATTCGGCGCCGCGCACAACATGTTAAATATACTGGAAAAATGCTTGAAGGGAATGTCACACGTAAATTTATAAACTGCGCAGAATTTTTCTCTGCAGAACAACTTCCTATAAAAACCCACAATTTAAAAAAAAAAAAAAAAAAAATTGTTACATATAACAAAATTACAATGAAATAAGCAATATCCCTTAGATACAAATATTAATTATCCTAATAAATAAATTAATCAACTTCCCGTTGCCTTCTCTCGAAGTATTCAAGTTGTCCAGTATTCAAGAGAAACATTAAGTTTAAAAACTGCATAGAATGATCGCCCTAATTTTTCTGATTGGCAACAGTGCTGATTTTCAACAGTCAGCAGTCCAGTATACAGCTGAATGAAAAATGGTTGCCCAAACCACATTTCTAAAAGAATGAAACTATTCAAAAGGATGCGATAAAATCGGAAAGATAAAATTAAAAAAAAAAAAAAAAGTCTGATTCGAATTTTGAAAAAATCGCTTGGAGGTGCACTGGCTCTTGTCTAGATGCACCTATGTACCCAATTTCGTAGCCCTGCGTCTATTAGCTTACGCGCAGCACGAAGGAGAGACACACAGACTCTTTCTTTTATTATATGTAGGGATATTCTAGGGAATTGTGATATATCCCTAATAAAAAGGAATCCCCAGTGCGCACGGTAGCCTAAATAAGAAGCCTCCGGCAGTTTTTCTATGTAACTGAATAACAATTTAAGTAGAAATTTGATCGTGAAAATTTTATTTTTTTGCAATAAAATTCTATTACAAATCGCTTATTAAATTTTAGTTTATCTCTTTGCATTTTATTTCATTTTAATAATTTAATTGCATTAATCTTCAATTATTTGAATAAATATCAATTTTATTTAATTCAATACAGTATTTGCCAGCGTATAAGACACGCCGGCCTATAAGGCCCTTTTTTATACACATTTTTGAACGATAAAATTTTATTAATGATCATTATAATGAATTTCGAGTATTTTTTCAAATTTTAAATTACGTCCAAAGGGGCGGTTTTTTTTTTAAGCTTTATTTATGAAATATCACGTTCTCCGCACTTAAACCATAAAATTCAGTTTAAGAGCAATATCGCAAAATAATTTTAAATTGAGCATATGTTTAGAATTTTCAATACCCAGTCTCGCGCGCTAGAGATAAAAATGTTTTTTCTGTAAAATGTTGCCATGGCTCGCTTTGGAATCCTTGAGTTTGTTAATAAAAAAAATTCGTTAAAGTTTTACAAAATATGAAATCGGTAATAAAACTAATTACAAATTTGGGCTTTCAGATATCCATATTTGCAGCAGGATTAAGTCATTCAAAATTGGATGGCTCTAGGTACCGTTCTTTTATCACAGTACGAGAAACATACGTACTTTTATGCAGATTTTTCATCATTTAATTTCTTCAAATATAATGCAGGACTCTAACATTCGGTGGCAACAGTTTGAAAAGTGAAACGGATATTTATAGTGAACCAACGCAAAATCGCAAAACGAAAACAATAGTCTTCAGGGACAAAGCCCCTTTGGACTAACAAAGTAATACTTTTTTAATATAATACTGCAAATACCCAATCTATGAGTTGCCTCTTTTTTTTTTATTTTTATTTATTTATTTATTTATTTATTTATTTATTTATTTATTTTTTTTAATTTTTTTTTTAGATCCTCTTCCTCCTCTTCCTGATTCCAAAGTTCTTATCATTTTTTTCAGTTTGGGGTGGCCGAAATGCCTCTCTGCGAGTATACACGTATAAGACGCAGTGTCGAAGTACAAGACGCCCCCCCCCCGTCTTTCAAACGTATTTTTAAAGAAAAAATTTTTGTCTTATACGCCGGCAAATACAGTAATTATTAACTAAATAATAAATGATAAATATTAAGTAATTATGAATTAATTCGATAATAATTAACCATTTAATTTTTAAATTATTAATGATTTTAATAATAATTTATTTACTTTTCTTCCTCTTTGCTGACGGTCTTCCATAGGGCTTCTGCACTTCTAATTTTAGAAACTAAGCCCTGTCCTAGGTTAAATACTGAACTCTTGCGAAAATGATCTCCTGTACGTATAATAAAAGAAAGACTCTGTCTGTGTCTGTCTGTGTCTTTCGTTCGTTCTGCGCTCAAGCTAATAGAGCCAGGGCTACGAAATTTGCTACATAGGTGCATCTAGACAAGACTCAATGCCTCTCGAAGAGATTTTTTTCGAAATTCGAATCAGATTTTCTTTAAATCTTTTTTGATGAAATTTCATCATTTCGAATAGTTTCATTCTTTTAGAAATGTGGTTTTGGCAACAGTTTTTCATTCAATGCTTTGTATATCTGGACTGTTGAAAAATTGAAATAAAATGCTGCTTATTTTCTTTTGATTTTTGGACACGCAACACGCACATCGTAATCTTCTCATTCTGACGCGCATGTGTCTCGGGAGGCACAACAGAAAGAATTTTTTCTTTTCCCCCTCTCTCTCTCTTTATTGGTTAATGGCAAAGGGGTTTGCATATTTTGAATTATGTCATCCGCAAAGCGCAATTTTGATTGGTTATTGCTTACCGATGATAGTTTCATTCTTTTAGAAATGTGGTTTTGGCTACAGTTTTTCATTCATTGCTTTGGATACTGGACTGCTGACTGTTTCCTCTTCAAAAATATGAGATTTATTGCTTATTACATACAAGGTTTTCTTAACTTCCTTTATACCATTTGAATTCTTAAGATTTTGCAACGAGAAGTTGGTTAATTTATTTATTTATTAGGATAATTAATATTTGCATTGTCTATTTATCTGTACTGCTTATTTCATTGTAATTCTTTTACTATGTGGTACATTTTTATTGATTTATTTTTTGAGAAAGTTGTTCTGCAGAGTAAAATTACGTGCAGTTTTCAAATTTAATGTTTGGTGTTCCCTTTAGGCACTTTTCCGGTACATTTAAAAGCCAGACGAAGGCTGGCCTCGTAGCAGCTAGTAACAAATAATCAAGTCTAATTTTATTTTACATTAAAAGTATAAAATACTGATTAAATTTACTACAAATTATTAATAAAACACTTAAATATTTTCAAATAAAAACTTGCTGTTTCTGTGTCATTGTTATCTTCAGAGTTGTCGTTCATCATTAAATGTAGCAATTCCAAATAAAAAAAGCATAAATTACAGAAAGCAGCCTGACCCTTTTTAAATGCTTAGAAATCTTCAGTTACTAGTTAATCTGTTATGCATAAGAAGTAGCTTGATACAGAATGAAGTTAGGAAGAAGAGCACGTGGTATCAAAATGGAGTATCTTGAGTATCTATCGAGTATCTTATTACGGATGGTTATCCCAGCTAGGGAAGGATCTTTTACAGGATAAACGCATCAGCTTATCAATTTTTTAAATACAGTTCAACTCCAGTTATCCGAACTCCGACTATCCGAATCGCTTTCAGAATTTAAGAAAAAAAATTAAGACGGAAAAGTAGTTGGACATTCAACGATTTCAGACATTGAAAGGAGCAAACCTACGCTTTTACACTTCGTGTGACTGCTTAAAAACGAAGCTGGAAGTTCTTCAAGAAAATTAATGCAGTAACAAGTAAAAATTTAGATGATGTCATTTTCAATGTGGTTTTTGCAGCAACGTTCTATAAGACACCCATTTCGGGTCCCATTCTTTGTGAAAAAGCTAACATCTCAGCTCAGAAGCTGTTCATCTTTTAACGAGTTTACTCTGATTGACGAGTATACTCGTCATGGAAAAGCGCACGATTTTGTGTATGGACGAGTACACTCGTCATGCGTATAATGAAATGGGAAGATAAGAGGGAGGTTTATTTATTAAGTACTGTACATAATGACGACGTAATGGAAACGGAGAAAAGAAAAATAATAACAAAGAAACCGGAGCTAGTGATTGATTATAATAAAAAAATGGGTGGAGTGGAAATGAGCGATGGAATTATCATAGCGTACTCTACAGCAAGAAAACGACTCAAAAAGTAATACATAAAGATATTTCTCCATTTCTTAGACATTATGTGTCTGAATGCATTCATATTATATAAAAAAAAATAATGGAACATGATCGCGTATCAACTTTTTGCTCAAATTTATTGAAGACACTTTTGCGACGTATCCAATTGAAAGAAATAAATTGACACAAACTCGGCTATTTAAACCTAATATAAGCCAATTAGGCGGGAATCATGTTCCGGATTATATACCCGGAACATCGAAAAAAAAACAACCCTACGCGAAGGTGTTCGCATTACTACAAACGTAAGATCAGGAAGGAATCGCGTTACTGATGTTCGATTTGCAAAGTCCCATTGTATATAGTACCCTGTTTCGCTGAATATCACTCCACAGCAGGAATTTAAATTCTTACTTTTATATGTTATAATATTTAATTTAATTTATTCGCTTGTTTCAGTTTAATATGTATG